GGGAACAAATATAGATCTCTTCCAGTCAGTTGGCCAAGTGGTTGTTCTCCAGATTTCTTGGCACAACTTGGTGAGTACATCCAGGGCAGCATCTGTTAGCTGAAATACTTCAATTGGTATACCATCTATTCCTGTTTGAATTAGGTACACATTAATATTAAAACTGACATTCTTGCTCTTAGAACTCTGGAGAGGTCCTTACCAGATTTTCCCAATGTAATATGTCTTTTGATTTCTTGACTGTTAGTTACCATGGAGGATGACTGGTAACTGGGGTAATGGGGGTAGGTTTGTTGGAGTCTGTGAGACTGGCTCAGAACGGCAGAGTTCCGGCCTGATGTACATACATAAGGTTGCTATGAGTCGTGGGCAGCTCCATGTCACATAACAACAGTGGGAGAAAAGGTGAGGCAGCACTCTAAATCCTACACAAAAACCAGGCTGATAGAAGCTTGTGGCCCCTAATCGCAACCTAGAAATTAATTATTCCCACAGCTCAGCTTTTAGGCAAAGCAACAGGCAGGCCTGTAAGGTAAACCACAGTACTAAGGAGTTATACACATTTTAGAACAATCAATCAAAAATCAATCGACCAAAAAGGAAAAAGGTAAACAACCCAATCACAAAATAGTCACAAGCTAAGAAAATCAGATGGCAAACAAACACATGAAGAAACGTTCAAAATCCCTGTTTATCAGAGAGAAGCAAATTAAAACAATACTGAGATAACAGCATCTCACTTCAACAATATTAAAGCTCAACAGACAGCAAACAACAAATGCTGCTGAGGATGTGGAGAGAGTGAAATTCTCATTCACTGCTGGCAGGAATGTAAAATGGTACAACCACTATGAAAGGTGGTCTGGTGCTTTCTCAAAAAGTTGGAAACAGAAAGCTGGACAATGATTAGGGAAGACAAAAGAACTGATGTTTTTGATGTGTGGTGCTGGAGAAGAGTATTGAATATACCATAGACAAGTTAATCCTAGAGAGGGGTGAAACCAGGCTACTCCTTGGAGGCAAGAATTTTGAAGCTTCGTCTGAAATACTTTGGACATGTTGCAGGAAGTGACCAATCCTTGGAGATACCATGCTTGGGAGGGTGAAGGGGAGAGCACAAGAGAGTAAGATCCTCATTTTGACTGGAGTTAAGGGATTATGTGTATCAGAGACAACAAGGTTGGCACAGGATAGAGCAGGATTTGGAACTGTTGGACATAGGGTCGCTATGAGTCACAAATGACTCAACAGCACATAACAACATCCCATATCCCACTACTTGGAATATACCCTAAAGAAATCAGAGCTGTGGTGAAAACAGATGTATGCAAACCCATGTACACATTATTCACAATAGTGAAGAGATGGAAATATCTCGTGTGTCTGTCAACAAAAGAACAGACAGAAAAACTGTGGTACATTGACATGATGGAATATTACATAGCCCTGAAAAACAATGAACCTGTAAAACACTACACAATATGAATGAGTCTGGAAGACATTATGCTGAGCAAAATATCTCAGGTACAAAAAGGCAAATATTGCATAAGACTATTGTTATAAAAATAGGATGGACATAAGGTAGGGAGAGCAAAGAACAAATAGATAATGAACACTACATTGGAAAGGGAGATGGGAAGAACTATCTGAAGGGAATGGATGATTAGACATTGCATTTATGTTAACTGCCAAAGTGCAACAACAAATGCATTACAAAATTAACTGGGAGAGGCGGAGGGAGGGGAGAGTGGGAATGTATCACTGAATGCATGAATACTATCCTTTCTGTAAATTTTCACTAAAATCACAATTTTAAAACAGCAATAAAATAGGTCATTTGCTTGTCCAGAGACAAAGTTTAGGAGGCAGCAAGGATAGAAAAGAAAGCAGGTGGGAAAGAGAAACACAGGGTCATGTCAGTACTGCTATATTGTGTGTAGACTGCCAAATGCAAAATTAACTTGCACCCAAATCACGATAAAAAGTTGAAGAAAGAAGTCCTTCAAAGTTTAAAATTCATCCCAGAAACAGGAAAAGATTAAATGAAAAAATTAACCAAACAATTCATGGTAAATAGTAAGATTCTTAAAAGTTAATTTTTTAAAAGCTAACAAAGTTCCCTGACATAGTAACTGGGCCTCAAATATGGACTAAAATTCCTTCCTACTTTTCAGTAGGTTAACTTAATCTTACTTTTTTGGGAATTTGCTCACATTCCAGTTTTATTGTCTCTTCCTGTGTTTCTTCAACTTCTGTGTCATATATTTCACCATCAGTTCTGTAGTAAAAACATCAACACAAAAGGGGTTTTTTGACCTGAAAAGGCTAAATACCACATCATTAAGATTCACTGCACCAAGCTTATCTTCAACTTGTCCTCAAAGAAATTCTAAATGCCAATTCCACTGCAATTACACCAAGGGAATAATATATAAAATTTTGATGAGCATTAAATGCAATGCATGTTAATGAGTAAGCTGAAATAGTGGCATAATTGTAAGGAACTGTGCTCCAAACACAAAGGTATATAGTTCAAATGCATCAGCTTTTTTGTGGGAGAAAGATGGGCAATCTCCTCCCATGTGATTTACTGCCTCTGAAAACCCCCTTGAAGGTCAATTATGATTCGGTTTTGGCTCCCTGATACACAAAAACAGTATTCAAGAACTTAATCAGTAGCTACAGAAATAATTTGGTCATTCTCCAGTCTAGTCATTTAACAAATACAACAACAACTAGATGCGCTATGAGTCATCTACAACTCAACGGCGCTTTTAACAACAACAAAAACGAGAGAGTGCAGTTGGCCTAGTAGACAGAAAGTGATGCTACTAAGCCAACAACAACACAGAGCTCAGTGGGCCTAGTGATAGCAAGGGATGCTACCAAGTCCAAGATGGGTGATTTTAGTGTGCACCCCTCAGGCCTGATTTTAATTGTTTCTAGTCAAATATTCTTCTAAGTGGCATAGTACCAGTCTGTCCATTTTCTGTACAGAGGTAACTTGTGGTTGCTGTGATGCTAAACACTGTGACACTGCTATGTCAAATGCGATAATGGTTACCTACAGTGGACAGTGTTTGGTGGAGCTCCCCAATTAAAACAAGCTTGGAAGCAGGAGTAGCATCCATTTCTGAAATAGCTTGCCTCCGGAAACCCTATGAACTTGGAGAAACATTCATAGGCTATAAGTCGTCTACGACTCAACAGTACTTAACAACAACAACAACAACTATGCTTCGTACATTAGATCCTAGGTGGTAAGGAAAACTACAGATCTTGTACCAGCCCACCAAGGGCAGAGTGTTCTAGCTACTTGGGAGAATAGTAACCTCAGTTTGAAGACCCCTGAAGGTGGGGGCCAATGGTTTTCTGATCCTAAAAGCCTTCTAAATGTTAGGAAACAAAGACGAGGACAAGGAATACTGAAGAGTGGATTCTGAGATTTAGGAGGAAGATTAAAAAGAAAAGCTGTTTCAGGCTTTCAACAGAGTCTGTGCAGTTGGCACAGGATCAGGAGGGGTTTACCTGTTGTAAATAAGTCACTATGAGTTAGTGCCTAACAAGAAGACCAAGAAATTTCTCATTCACAGATATCACCTCAAATGATTCCTTGAAGATAGTCCAACAATACAAAAAAAAAAAAAAATGAGTCAAGAAAATAGGAAAGCCAAGAAACTGGTGAGCAAAGCTGCCAATAAAACCCACAGGAGAATTTAAATGATGAATTTAAACTATTCATCAACAATGATAAATTAAGCAACAATGCATTTAAGTTCCATCACCAAGTAGAAGCTGCAGGGTTCGAATCCACAAGCTACTCTGCAGGAGAAGGGCAGGCAATAATATCCTCCCGTGCAATTGAGTGCCTCTGAAAACCGGCTGGAGAGTCAGCTATGTGTTGGTTCCAACTTGATGGTAGAGAAGAACCACCCCCAATGCTATAGATATAAAGAACTGAAGAATATAATGTCTCAGCAAACAATGGATGCTGAAAAAAAGCTTTAAAAAAGTTCTGAATTACAATGAGATACGTGCCAGACAATGTTTGGTTACTAAGTGAAAGGATGGAGACTGAGTCCATGCAGAGGTGCCTTGAAAAAGCCTGGCCACTGAAACCTGCGGGATGAAGAGTTCTCCCTGTCAGAATAAAGACCAGGACTAGTGAACGTGAAATCCTTACGAATTGCTAGAACAAAGAGAACGTGAATAGTGGCCTTGTCCTTTCTTCTCAAAGCGACAAGTCTCACAGTTTTGGCATCTGTCCCAAGCCAGAGTTTTGGAGTTTCGTTACCAGATGGCGTAACAAATTCAAAACCACAAGGGCCAATAAATCAAATACCTGGGAACCTTTTCTTTTTAGTAAGGAATCATCCTATCCCACAGGAATCAAGCTCTCTTTAAAAACTACCCACCAGCATCTAGTTGATTCCACCTCATGGTGACCCTACAGGACAGCATAGAACTGCCTCAAAAGATTCTCAAGGCTGTAATAAACCTTAATGTGAACAGACTGCCTCATCTTCCCCCTACATAGCAACTAACGGGTTCAAATCACGGACTAGGCAGTTAGTCACCAGAAACTTAGCCTACTAAGTCACCAGGGCACCCTGTTCTCCTAAGGTAGATAGAATAATGATAATCTCCACTACAACAGTACTAATAGCAGTAGCTAACCCTTATCATGCACCAGAATCTCCATGGACACCCAGGTCAACTGCCATATGATGCCCAAGGACAATGTCCTACACTCTATATTGGTAAATAGTAACTGGGGCAAAGAATGAAGAAAATCAAAGATGCATGTTAAACAACTAGCCTGTAGAATTTGAGATCCTCAACTCCCAGAAGACCATGACACCAGAATCCCTAGACAGTGCTCAGCTACCACTGCTAACTGAAAGGGATCACGATAGGGGAAGAGACAGTGAACAAAGCTCAAACAATGGCCAGGCTTAACCCACCTGAAAGACTGCTGGAATCCAGGCCTGGCACGAAACTCACTCCTGTAGCACAACTTTCAGCAAAACAATAGACATTATGTGTAAGGTGAACAGTAACACCAGTAACAACAGCACTTAGAGCACTCGATACATAGGATGACAAGGGCAGCAACTGTCCAAAGAAACAGCTCAGAAGGTAGGAAGCGAGAGGATGGAGGAATGAATGGAAACAAGAACCACAGAGAGGGAGTGGGAAGAATAATGATATACTGTGGAGATAATAATCAATGTCAAAAAACAAAATATGCATGAATGTAATACCAATCTGCTTTATAAACTTTTATTCCTATCATAACAAAAAGTTTCAAGAAAACACTACTACTACTACAGGACTGGATCAGGACAGGAGAGTTCAGAGCTGTTGTACGACTCAACAGCACATAGTAATCATAGTAAGCATAATATCATGTATGCTCCAATCATATTACACATTTTTAATGGATGAGAAAACGGAATTACCAAAACCCTGTGCAACTTGTCAAGTATCACAGAGGTAGTAGCATGGTAGGAGATTTGAGCCCAGACAGCGAGGTTTCAGAGTACATGCTCCAAAACCACATGTCCCCTCAAGGTAGATATTCCCTTACCACTTCACCTTCAATGTTCACAATTCCAGGCCTATGAGGAAGATGGGACAAAGTTTATCACCTTCTTCCTGAGGAAGTGTGTTCTTGGATTCAGGAATACTAATACCACATAGCTTCTTCTCTCATTGGCTGCTGCTTGTCAAACTCTACTGGTGCCTCATCTTTGCAATTCTAAGTTAGTCTTTAATTTTCTAATCATCTGAAATATTGCATGTTGCGGGCCTAGTTAAAGATTCCACAAAGATACTGAACACTAAACTCACTGGATTGGTTAACTGGGTTTGAAGGCTTGGGAATGTAGCTTAATGGACAACTCAGACAACTGGCACAACATAGTTTATAAGGATGATGTTCTGTATCTCAGTTTGGTGAATAGTGTCTGGGGTCTCACAGCCTGGGCAACTTAATCTTAGTTTTACCATTTAGGATGTGCCCTCTTGTATTATTTAACCTCTCAATTTTTCTCATCTCATAGTCTCATAAAATGAGAATATCTTCTCTCTAAGGTGACTATGGAATTTTGGAAAATAAAGTTCTTGATGGATACATATCCTGAATTAAGAATTCTAGGCACAAAAAAAGTAAATAAAAAAAAAAAGAATTCTAGGCACATGAAGTATGTAAGATGGAGAAAGTAAATGGATGAGTAATACTGAAAGGAAAAATTCAGCAGAATCAGAAATGTATAGAGCTGAAGAAACTCAAGTTTAATTATGCCTACTGACTCATAGGCCCAAACTTCATGACTGTTCCCCAAGATGCCTTTTTTCTAAAAGGCTGGTAGTTTAATGGGTAAGGAGTTGCACTGCCAACCCAAAATCATGCTGTTCGAATACTTCCGTGCAATTCACAGGCCATAAAAATCCGCTAGACGGTCCACAGGCACATGACAACAAAAGCAAATGTAAACGCTACAAGGGTTTGCTGTACATATTACAGTCATTAGCATCAATGAAAGAAGAGTCACTTCAACAACTAGTGAAAGCAGAGTTTGGTCCTGTGTCAGTGAGGATCTGTGCCCTCTTGCGATCTATAAGAAATAGGCTTAGGGGGAGTAACAGTGCCCGGACAACTAAGCGGGCCCAGCGGCCAGCCTGAGCAGTGGCACGTGTGCGGGCAGAGGCGATCCAGCAGCGGCTCCGCTGCCCGACCCCGTGGCCACCCGGGCCTGTCCCTCCCGTCGCCCGGGTGCTCTGGACCTCTAGCTATGGAGGCCTATACACTGGAACCCCTCTCTGGCGCCCAAAGGACCTCTCGCGCCGGTCGGGCCAGACCCTGCGCTCGCCCCACGCGCCTCCCGCGGGACTGCGCGGCGCGACGAGGCCAGCACACGGCTCGGGCCCTTGCAGGGAAAGGACGAAAAAACGAGGATCACCTTTCGTCAGAGTCCGTGGTCGGTTTCTTGCCGAGGGCTGGGTTGGGAGGTTTGGAGAAAAGATTCTCAAAATCCATTGCCCCGAGAACGCACAATGTCAGCAAGGGAGGCACAGACCCGCCTACAGAGCATGGAGTCCAGCTGAAAGCCCCGCCCCGCCGCCAGCCTCGGCCCCGGCTTCCGCCCCGCCTGCTGCCGGGCCCGCGCATGCGCACCGGACAACGATCTGAGGCTGAGCGCCCTCGGCTCACAGCGCCCCCTGTTGGAAAGCTCTTTGTGCAGGCGCCTTTCTAATGTCATGCTGTTAAGTGTCATCGAGTCGCCTGTTCATAGTGACTCTATGTACAACGGCCCTAAACCCTGCTCTATCCTGTGCCAATCTTATTGTCTCTGACACACCTGCTCCCATTACTCTAGCGGGTCTTCCTCTCCTGCGCTGTCCCACCACCCTCCCAACTATGACATCCCTCTCCAAGGTCTGGTCCCTCTTTGTAGCATGTCCAAAATAGGTCAGAAGAAGCTTCAGAATTCTGTGCCTACAATGAGCAGCCTGGTCTCACCCTCTCCAGGACGAACCTATTTATTCTCTTAGCAGTCCATGGTACTCTTCTCCACCACAGTTCAAAGGCATCCATTCTCTCCTATCATCCTTTTTTTATTATCCAGCTTTCTGACACACAGCAAGTAATTGTAAAGACGGCCTAGATCAGGCACATCTTGGTCTCCAGACCGACACTGTTGCTCTTCAGTACTCTGGAGAGGTTTCTGATAGAAGCCTTTCCCAGTGCAATTCGTCTTTTAATTTCCTGGCTGCCACAATGCTGTCAATCAGCCCAGTGGTGAGAATCTTTGTTTTCTTGATGTTGAGTTTTAAGCCATATTTAAGGCTGCAGTCCTTGACCTTCTGCAGCAAGCACTTCAGGCCCTCCTCAGTTTTAGCAAACAGGGTTGTGTCATCTGCATAACACAGATTGTTGATGAGTCTTCCTCCATTTCTGATGCCACATTTCAACACATTGGAGACAGGGTTCAGATCTGGATAGCAATATGAGTTGTACTAGACTCAATAGCACCTAATAACAGTGTTTCTAAGAAGTAAGAGCAATAGTCAGAAAATCAAAAGGGCTGAACCTGCTTGGCATTTCTTAAGCTGAAGGAACTGAAGAACAAATTCAAGCTTCAAGTTGCAATACTTAAGGATGCTTTGGGGAGAAAATGAAATGATTCAGGAAGCATTAAAAGAAGATGGAAGGAGCCTCCATGTCCCCATCTGCAGAATGGGGACATATAATCCCAGGCCCCTGCTGAGCATCCCTGCTTAGATGTTTTCCAGTGATTCCTATCAAGCCCTGAAAGATAGGAAGTACTGTTGCCCCCACTGCCATAGAGGGGAACTAAGATTAAGACGGCAGTGCACAAGGCAGGACCCATCCAACCTCTCCCCACAGTATCCCTGGCACAAAGAGGCCATGAGCAGGCAGCTGCACTAGGTAAGCCTCCCTTTAAGAGGCCAGAGTGGTATTATGAGTCTGGGAGAGGGTGTGTCTCTGGTGGATGGAAATCCAGAATGTGGGGGGAAACCCATTTGACATTGAGAAGAGCATCAACTTCCCTTTTTGACAATTGCTGATGGATTTTGTGAAACAAGGGATTCTCTGGCCAGGGGAATCCCTCAGGCAGTTGCCTGTGCCTGTAACTTACTTTAAATCATTCCCCCTTCTCTAAACTCTGGTCCCTCAACGTTTTGGGGGCATTTTGGGACTGGAAATATTATTTCTTGCTTTCCAAACTCTTCATCTGGATCATGTGCATGTGTCCCCCACAGGGTGGGCCCAGTCTGGCCACACACTCCAGCTACTTATCCACTGAATGAAAAATCCAACCCAATACTGATCTCTTTTTCCTCCACTCAGCTCAGGGCTCTTTTAACAGCACCAGAGGAGACATGATAATTATTTTTTTTATTTTATTTTATTAATTTTCATGAACATTTACCGAGATTTCAGGTTTTCATTCATTCATTGTTGCACTTTTTTCTTTACCCCCCCCCCCCAGTTTGCTCCTCTCTTTGAAAAGCAAAAGATAAACTTCTTCATTGGTATACAATCCCCCCGACTCCAAACCTGCCCCCCCCACTATGCAACCTTAATTCTGAATTCCTGTGATAATCATAATATGCTATCATATATCACTTTTAAACTGTTCCGTCCCTCATCTGTTTCAATTCAGTATACATATCTATCCAGTTTTTCTCAGTCTTACCCCAATCCTGATGTCAGTCACTTTCTATAACAGCAGCACCATGCAGTATTTGTCCTTTTGTGACTGAGATATTTTACTCAGCATAATGTCCTCTAGGGTCACCCATTTTGGATAATATTGCATGAGTTCTTTGTTTTTCAATGCAGCGTAGTATTCCGAGACATGATAATTGTTTAAAAAAAAATGAGTGGTGGCTGGCTGATGGAAGCCCCTCAGGCAGCCTGAGTGTATTCTTCTGGACCTTTTGAAAATGATCTTCGGCAGGATTTTGCTTGCAGAGGAAGACAAAAGATGGCCATCCCAAGCATTGCATGATGCTCACTGCCTCACAGTCTGCCTTCAGAAAACCTTGGTTTGAGTTCTTGTTCTACTGCCTTTATTACTTTTTCAACCTTGAGTTAATCTGTTCACCTTGTCCATTTGTAGAATGGGAAAGTAATAATACCTACTTCGAGTTACAATTAGACACTTGTCAGAGAGGAAAGGAGAAGTGATGGCAGGGCTAGAGCCAGAAGTGCTGTCCCCAGCCACGGTTCCTGGTAAGGTGCAAGGTATGAACCTTAAAAGAGCTTGAGGGTCAGGAGCCAGCCTGCCACTGGGGAGAGCAGCTTGGTGTGTATGAGGAGCTTTATCTAAGCCACTTTCCTCCACCTCCTCCTCTAAAACACCTGTAAGTAACACCTCCAAAGCCTTTTTCTTTGTAACTTACATGAACACTGAGTCTTGTTCCAGAACCTGAACCCTGGACCTGGTTCCAGAGACAAAAGGGAAATATAACTGCCAGCTAAGGAAGCAAAGGTGGATGGATCCTTGACATTCAACTAGCCACTCCCACCGGACTCACCCACACAAACACCTTGCAGTCCAGAGGGCTGAAAGGTCATGAAAATATCTTCTAACTGAGCAAAAAGGCATACAGCTTCAACTCAAGACCACCAGTAAAGTGTTAAAGTGGGCTTCCCTTCCCCTTCGTCTCGACACCCATGTTCAGCACGAAGCAGCCAGAGAGTCACAAATGGGAAACCCACAAATTCAAAAGGCAATCTCTTTGGAAAAAAAATTAACCACTATTGGATTATGCCCACTTGTCTTTTTCAGTCCCTGCTGAATCTTTCTTACTTCATTTTCCCACTCCCTCTCCCCAACAAATTGTGCAACCCTGTGATTTCATCCCTATCCATCTTCACCCTTTCCCCACCTCTTTACCCCTTGGATCCCCATACATGTTTTTTACAATTAAAAAAAGAAGGCGAAAAAGAAGACTGAAGGAGTATATAGAGTCACTGTACAAAAAGAGTTGGCTGACACAGGAGAATTTCATGAAACAACACAGAGGCAAGAGGCGATGGTTGATGAAGGAGGAAGTTCAAGCTGCTCTAAAGGAATTGGCAAATAACAAGGCCTGAGGAACTGGCAGCATACCAATTGACATATTTCAACAAACAGATGGTGACCTGGACATGCTTAACAGGCTGTGCAAGAAATCTGGAGACAACTACTTGGCCAACTGACTGGAAGATCCATATTTATTCCTATCCCCAAAAAAGGTGATCCAACAGAGTGTGGAAATTATCAAACCTTATCACTAATATCACACACAGGCAAAATACTGCTTAAGATTATCCAAAACCAACTGGAACAGTACATTAACAGCGAACTACTAGAAATACAAGCTGAGTTTAGAAGAGATCATGGCACTAGAGACATTATTGCCAATGTTGGATGAATCTTGGCTGAAAACAAAGAGTACCAGAGGAATATATCTGTGCTTCATTGACTATGTAAAGGCATTTGGCTTTGTAGATCACAAGTTGTGTCTAATCATCATAAGAATGGGAACCCCAGAATACTTTTGACCAGGAAGTAGTCATCAGAACAGTGCAAGGAAACACTGCATGGTTTAAAATTAGGAAAGAAGTGTGTCAGGGATGCTCCCTGTCTCCAAACCTTTTTAATATATATGTGGAATAGATCATTGGAGAGACAGGACTTTATGAAGAGCAGTGTGGCATCAGTGTTGGAGGAAGACTTGTCAACAACCCATGCTATGCAGATGATATAAACTTGCTTTGCCAAAAATAGAGAAGGATCTGATACATTTGCTGCTTCAATATGAATTGAAGCTCAACATCAAGATGATTCTTCCCACTAGGCCAATTGGCAGCACCATGATGGTCAGAGAATAGATTGAGGTTTAAAAATTTCATCTTGTTCAGCTCCACAATCAACATTCTCAGTACCAGCAACTGGGAAATTTAAAACAAAAAAAAAATGCATTGGGAAAGTCTGCTGTCAGGGACTGCTCCAGAGTGCTAAGGAGCAATGACATCAGTCTAGAGACTAAGGTGCACCTGATCCAGGCCATGGTCTTTGTTATTACTTGTATTGCATCAGAGAGCTGGACAGTGACTAAAGATGACAGAAGAAGAATCTATACCTTTGAACCATGGTTTTGAAGAAGAGTATTGAACATACCGTGGACAGCCAGGAGAACAAATAGGTCTGTTTGGAGAGGGAGAAACCAAGATTTTCATTGGGGGCAAGGACTTTGAAGCTCTGTTTCAAAACCTTTGAGCACATGGACAGGAGGGACCAGTCCTTGCAGAAGGACATCATACTTGGAAAGGTGGAGGGACAGTGCAGGAGAGGAAGATTCCAGATGAAATGGATTGACAAAATAACTGGGGCAATGGGATTAGATGTGTTGGTGTCAGTGAGACTGTCTCAGGATAGGTTAGAGTTCAGAGCTGTTGCACATAAGGTTGCTATGAGTCGCAGGCAACTCGACAGCATATATTACTACAATAACAACTTG